AATGGCAGGCGTTTTGATAGCTATCATTTGCCATTTAGCTGACTTCGGGCTTCACAGAGGGGAGGTTCATCAAAGTAGCAGAAAGTCGAGGGGTGGGGATCAGAAGAGCGATTCACAGATGTAAAAGAGGCAGACAGACACAAGGGTAGAGAAAAAGATAAGATGAGTACTGTGAAAGGGGTCGAATATGACAAGCTGTCGGGCCATGGTAGTTAGAAGTGAGAAGTCAACTGCAGGTTAATAGACTTTTTTGCCGTATGAGTATACGTAGCCCAGGGTGCACCACGTGGAGGTAAGTCCATCCCACACCCCTTTTTTTCCCAACATGAAAGGGTCCCATTGACCTCTCGTCAGCACATTGCATCGCATAAACAATCAACGTGGTAGGGTGCTGACGAAAGTGTAGTGTCACCTGACGGTGTCGAGTGAACACACACAGACACACACACACAGAGTAATTTGGGGAAGCTGTCAATAATAGCACAATGACTTCATTTGCATACGAAATTGGACGTCAATTCACGCTAAGTCCTGATATGGCTTTTTCTGATTTACTCCTTTCTTATAAAACAAGTCACTTTCACTATTTTTGAATTCACATCTTTACTGTCATATGCTGTAGCTGTACCTTTCTCTGCTAATTTCATTTTGTCAATGATATAAGTGACTGTTCTTACACCCGCATCATGTTTGAAGAAGGGAGTCTCAGATTGGTTAAATGCGTAGGAATCTAGCAGAGTATTCATTTTATTCTCCTAAATGCCTATCTATTTTTTTCATTTCTTCATTACATAATTTCGTATTAGTTTCCCATAACTTCTTTGACTCAATTTGCCATTTCTTTCACACTCTCCTGATCACACTCACCGTCTTATCTGCATTATTGTTTGCAAGACTTCCTTATCTTTCGGTGGTGGGATTCAATTTTAAAGGTAAATACATAATGATCAATATCTGTCGTTAATGGGGCATGATCAGGTTTTATACCAATGCACTTTAGTGCCGTGTGCCCTTTGAGGGCTGACAGGTGAACGCTTTCTCGCCCTATTATCATGACAGAATGGTTACTTCTTCTGTTTGTGTTATTATTAATCATTGGAAGCAGCTTGCATTGAATAATAGCCAGCTCAACAAATGGTAAAGGGGGGGGGGGTGGATCAAAAAAGACACAGAGAGCAGCATCAAGGTTCCAAAGGTAATATCTAATCAAAAGGTGTCATCAGTCTTGTCACTTGATTTCATTTTTTCTTTGAATGGTTGAGAATAAAAACTTCCTTACATGCATTCCATCAATTTACTTTTTTTAACGTGGAGAATGTGAGGTGATATAGCAATCTAAAGTTAGCAGAGCTCCGTAAGCTGTTTTCACTCAGGGTGAATAAAAATTTCCCAATTTTCTAGATGACCTAGTGGTAATTAGGGAGTGTGATGTACTTCCTTTCTTATCACAAGGCTCTTTTAGTTCCTATGAGAGGGAGAGATTAATTTTCATCTGTACTGGTAGGGGATTATCTTCCTTTACTTCTTCCTGGAGTTCTAATGAGGCAAAGTACGTAGATCCATGGGGATCATTTTGGTTTTGTCCCTGTCTGAAGGCCTTCCTTTCCTGCAGGTATGGAATCGCACAATTGTTAACCTGAATCTTTACTTTAATATCATTAAGTTAGCTAAAGATCGCCGATTTGTTTTCTGTTTTAAAGATTTTCACATGATAGGAATTGAAACCTGGGAAGAGTGGTAAATAGGTGTCGATAAAAAATTAAATGGATACGGGCCCATGATAGGGAGGTCATTTTATGGTACGTGGAGTTTACTAATGAGCATCCAATTGGAATAGCTGATAGTTCTACCAGTGCGGAAATATGAATTAACACTTGAATGATGGGGATTTCGCCTGCTATTTTCCTGTTAATCAAAAATGACGGTGAGTGTATGCAATTAATAAACCACGAAATGTAGAAAAAATTAACCTCTCCCTAATTCATTTTGAGAGCCATTTTCGTTTGCTTATTCTCATCCATCCCTTAATTTTAGTGATGTATCTATGAGCAGTCACTCTCAAATTCGACTGGATGCCCTGAGTACACTGTGTTGGCGTAACTTTATTGTTTATGGCATCTCCTTTTCATATATGAAACGTCCATCTTGGGTATTCTAGACGGCTCCTTTGATCGGTTAAAATAATGTCTAGTATCTGGGCCATCCTTCCAAGAGCCCTTGAAATATTGTTTTGTGTTTCCTTTAAGCACATTAGAGTCTGCTAAATTCCATAACATGGAAGTTGCTCTCTGGTAGGTAAAATTAACATTTGGTGATCAATTAATATGGTTTGATTTTCACTTTTTGGTATAACAAATAAACTTAATTTGGGGAATGATGCATATGTATTCGACCCGAAATACGTAAAAATTACATGAAAGTGATTGGATTTGAATTAAATATGATATTTTTGTTTTGTTCAATTTCGAAATTTAAACTGATGAAAGTTTAAGGAGCTTAAGGCCTAGTAGAATGGACTATTATTTCATTGTTTAATCCAAAGTGGGTCTAAGCTATAATTACATCATCAAAAACTTCTGAGTAACTCTGTTCACGTTTTATCTTGGTTTTAGCTGGTGCAGTCGGTTTGGGTCTCATCGGAACTGTACTTGGCGGTGTCACCCTTGGTGTTATTGGTGCTGCTGCAGCCTATGGAATACAAAAAAGCAGGGAGAAAAGGGATCATTAAATTCCGTTTTCCTTCATAGGTCTTATTTTAATAAACTGGTTGATCTATAACATCCCTTGTCATCATAATTATTTCTTGATTTTAAAGTAAATCTATATCTTCTGAATGCGTCTTTTTTTATTATTTTACAGATGCTAAATATAAGAAACCAAGATATATATAAATTGACCCAACATACAAAAAATAATACGTATATCTTATGGTTGAAAAATGGTATGTATAGCGAGTAAACATTCGATTGGTCTGACAAATTTACAGCTTTCGTATACAGTGTCATGTGGGTATATTTCAACTACATTTAACTAAAAAGAATTTTAATAAAACCAAAATTCTAGAAATATATAAATTTTGAGTTTTTTCAGAATAATTTTTGCAAATATTTGCTAACTAAAATTTTTTAATTATACGAATTGTTTAAGTAATTCATTTACAATGCACATTGAGGCCACTAGTATTCAAACCTAGAATACTTTTATAATTTTACCAATAAGAATTAACTGGACTATTGTCAAAAGACCGATATATATTTTTCCAATAATTAACAAAATATCGAAATGGCTGATTTAGAAGCTGTTCTAGCAGATGTTAGCTATTTGATGGCCATGGAAATGAGCAAATCAACCCCAGCTGCCCGTGCAAGCAAAAAAATCACTATTCCTGACCCAAGGTAAGTTGTCTTTTTGAGAAAACCTTAACAATCTTACTTTATTTATTTTAAAACTTTGCTAGTTTGTAACCGGTATTTACTACCTGGCTGTCTTTGTTTTTCCGCAATTTTGTATTTACTGTTCGATATTCATTAAACTCTATATATCATCATAGTGTCTCAAATAAAATCGAGATCATTTTTTCATATTTCATTTCTAGTCTTTTGATTGCTCCTAATATCTAATCACTAACCCACTTCTTTTTGAATTGTTTATTATTTCGTTCTTGGGGCAATTGTTCTTGCATAATTTCAAGTTATTTAATGCACCTTTTTGAATGCTAAGCTTTTTTATCTAATGCTTTCTCAGAGTTTTTCATTTATTTTGTACTCGTTTAATTATTTTTACAAATGGTTCCGCCTTCAGTTAGTCCATTCGCAGCCCACACTGAACAATTATGAATTATTAGTTAAATAAAAGATACATGCTTTTACGAGGAATCGTTTAATTCAATTTCAAAATCGTCGATATTGAAGCATTTCGGCGTCAGAACCTCTTATTCTGAAGGCAATAGGTATATTTGGTTAACTGGCAAATAATGAACATTATTAATTCTTAAGGTCAATCGAATTTGTGACTTCTCTAAAACACAGTGTAAGGTTCAAAACTAGTCGACAGGGAACAGAAGGTCATTAAAAAATTTTTATCAAGGGTGTTGATAATCTCACCAAACTCAAGGTAAATTTCGATTTTATAAATATCTGGCTCATATGCAAACTTTTCTAACGTTGACAGCCACAGTTAGTCAAAAGGAAGTTACTGATATCTTCAAAGAATAGCATCCACTTCATTCAAGAATAGATGATCTTGTGCATAGTAAAGCATTATGTACCACAGCGACACTGGTCTTAGTGTCCAATTAGTTCTAGAGAGATGTGAAAGTAGTCCCCTTCTCACTTCGTCACGTGATTGTTTTCTTTTGTGTGTGCCCAAAGCAGAAAAATACACTATAGTTGGATTTCTAATCTGAATTATAGTGAAGTAAAAGCCTTTCTTTATCAAATTCTATCGTGTTATAGTTGCCGAATTCAAGTTATATTCTGTATGTATTTGCAAAAGTAGCCACCTTGCCAATATTAATGAATACCCGAAATGCGCTTTCCTGCTGAATAATGAAAACTGGCGGAAAATGGATGTTATTTCAAACAAAAAATTAGTAGTTCCTGTTACTGCAATTTCTTCTGCATGCCTTGACTAGTTGCCAACAATTTGGCCTGAAAGTACACTGCATTGTTGTATGTAAAAGAAAATAATTAAATTTACCTAAATAGTAGTGAATGATTTTGAAAAAAATTAGGACTATTTAGACTAAAAAATGGTCTGAAATAAAACTTTAAGTTCTAATTGTTGCAATGGCCATTTCTCAATTTATCGCACGTTTTCGTGTATTTATCTGCCAATTTTTTGCGATTTTATGCCAACCATCTGACATTTTACAAAAAATGGAGTGAAATGGTTTGCTCATCGGAAATTTTTTATCATTAAGTTAAATCATTTTTTATTTTCTCATGAACAAAATCTCCGATTCGAGCGTAATATAAACTAGGAAAGTCGTTTTCTATTCTAATTGGTATTTCCATTGATGTGCTTGAGGCAACATTAACTCTATCCTTTTGAGTAAAATTAATGATGATAACATTGCTGTTGATGGGTCCCAATTGCATGGTTATGTTTTCTTTCACCTGGCAAAGTCGTTGATTCAAGAATTTTGTCTAAAAGAAAATTGTCAGTTACTCTCTTTCCTTATTAGATTTCAATTTTTGCCTATTTCAGAAAGCTCAACTAGAAAGATGTGTTAGTGTGGTTTGAAATGAGAATAATGACACTGAGGAGTTAATGTTAATACACCGCAGATGAAAGTTTCCTGAGCTCCCAATGTTTTTTTACTCCTCATTCTTCGTGATGCCACCAACCTCAGTGCTCATTATTGATCGAAGTTGGAGACCATCAATGATTGAGACACCACATCTAGCCTGTCTTTTTCCTGAAAAAATATGGAAGTTCATATAAGAGAAACCGAGGTAAATGCCTTCGACAGTCTGAATTCCAATTTGCGATGGTAAAATAAGTGCTTTGGGCACTATTCGTAATTTCATACATTAATCAATTTCGATGAGTCAGCTGCATATATCGGCGAATTAAACAAGCCATGCTTTATAACTCATTTTCCGCAAAAGCTCTTTATAATCATGTTGTGCCAATGGTACAGGTGGTTTGTAAAGTCTTGGGAGCATGTATTCGATGCCTTTTGGTGAACATCCAGTTGGGGGAATGATTAATCCCACTTTCAGCAAATCGGGTTTTTTGACTGTGAGGCTTCATATTGCTTGCAATCTTTTCAAGATAATTTCGAAAAAATGCTCTTCTAAGTGTTCTCCAGGGTTTGCATAATTATTTTTACCTCAGATTTCGGCTTTTGGTGGCTCTTTTAATCAATTGGAATTTCAACTGAGCCGTCTATGGGTGATTTACGATTGGTCAAATTATCAAAATTTCATGTTTCATTTCTGCCACCTAAAATGAAGTCGAATTTTGTCTAAATCACTGGATAAAAGGAGATAAATTATTTGATATTTCTGATATCAACGACTCCCTATTTCAAAAATGTGGATACTTTTAAATTCTATTTTATTCTGAAAAGTTTCATAAATCCCCATTTCTTGGCGAAGCTTTAAATGCTAAGCTGAAATTTTTAGGCTATTAGTTAATCAGATCAAAATCGATGTCTTTAAAGTTCAAAGTATCGATTAATGGCTGTCAAGCTTTGCACGTCTCACTTAATCCCCCCCCATTGGTCATACTTTATAAATGTTTCTATGATTAAATCTATATTAATAAAGGGTTACTTAAGGCATATGGTTCACAGAAAGCGAAAATCACTAAAGTTAACATTTAAAATAGCAAAACCTATCTCTTAACGTTATAAATAATGAAAAGAATGTCTACTTTTTACAAGAAAGAAGATATGACATATTGATATAGTGAAATATTTACAACTTTTTTGTCTTCTGATCTGTGTATTCAAACGCACTTTTTTCAAGTTCAAATTCATCTTCTTATCAAAGTCCAGTTTGGATATTAATAATAGATAGTTATTTGTTTAAGTGACCTAAATTAAATTAGGTTTTCGGGACAAATTATCGATCGGTCCCTCAATTCAGCCATGAAAATAATTTTTTTGGGCAAACATGTTGATTGACTTTCACACATTTTTTCCCGCGGATGATCTCTTTTTTTGCACGCGAATGCACAAAATCAACTGCTCCTCTTGACGACAAAATTACTTGCCTTACCTCGGAACACACGTGATGTATTCGTGGTGTGGCTCCGAAATACACTCACACACACACACACACACACACACACACACGCACACAGGTTCAAATTCCTATCGGTGGTAAAAGTATACTTGCAAATTTTTCTTGCTTCGAAGCAAACATCATGGATGTTTTGGCAATTGGTGTTTCTTTTCATTGTAATAATAACATTCAACAAAGGCGTTGGGTATTGTCACTATTCCAGGACAGTTAGTTTAAGGAAGACATTGTTTCTTCTTCCATTCATTTAACTTCTTGGGATTAATTGTTTGTCAAAAGCGAGGCAAGACTTTGAATATCCTGACGAACCAAGAAGTTAATGAAGGCTGTTTCTTTCTCTACCAAATTTGGAGGACGAATCACAGATTCA